GGCTAGAGTGTGCCGCACACGCTTCATCTGCAAGTGTAAAAGGCATCATTCGATTATGCATCCCCTGGTGGCTCATCGCTCTCCATAAACCTCTCGATTCCATACTGTCCTCAACTCTCTCAGAATGTGAGCGTCACATTTGTTCGAATATCCATATAGGAATACATACTATTCGATGGCATAAATTTTAATCGACACCACTAATAATTTATCTCTACATCGTGATTTTATGGAAATGTTATACATGTGTTCAAAAATAGATTAGATAGGTGATTGAATCACTGATGAACGTATTATATCGAACAAAAGTTTGGAAAAATACATCTAGTACTTACGAATGTCAAATTAGAAAGTTAAAAAGTTAGGAACGAAGGGTAGATTCAAAGTCTTACTGTAAATCGTAAATGTATCTAAATAGGAAATGAGGTCGAGTTCTAATATAAAATTAGCCAATGACAGGGTAAATTTCTCTGGCCTTTTACAAAAATAAAAATGAACCTATCACCTCTATTCTATCTTTTTTCTCTTTTGGATTGTCTTTTGTTTTTACCAACTTTATTGCCTTGTTCAAGCAACTCGTACCTGTCGCTCAACCAATGCCAACGACCAGAAGCAACACTTGTTACAAAAGCACCTATATTAGTCATAATTAGGCACAATGTTTTAGTATTTGCCATAAGTTAACTTTCGTTTAAGTTAAAAATAAATAACACTCTGAGAGTAGATACTTTATCACCGGTTTCTCTATTTTTCATTTTTTTGTAGCAATAAATAATACGAGTTATCTTTCATTCTCAGCGCCATCAACCTACCCTTTATTTCGTTTAAGACTATTATAGTTTATCACTAGGAATCATAATAGTCTTATAAAAAATAAAAAACTTGAAAACTCAACTCAAAGTATCAATAACAATGATTGATTGACTGATTTATAAGAATTGGATTGCTGCTTTTTGGTAACACGTTCAATGTCCTGAACAACTGATACAATTCAAACATGATTGTATATCAAGGGAGCATTGGCTCCTTCTCTGGTAGGCAGCTACAGTTAACGTGAAGGGATAAACAGTGAGAACTAGAGCTTATCGTTGACGTTTCACAATTAAACTGACCCCAAATGGTGCAGATCAGCAGTTGCCTAGTTGCATTTCAACCCTTCATCGATCTTATTTGTATACTGTAACAGATCGACCTTAATTTCACGTCTACTGCGCATCCTTTTGCTCGAGATGTGACCACATGAGTGATGAGACTGCTTTTCAAGCAACCTCAGTGGACAATCCATCAAACTGATCAGATAATGGTTCTATCTGAACATAATTTTTCTTGTTACATATTTTTACTAAAATTGATCATGTTCTTTATATTTTAATCTTTTTTCTTGTAATATAAGAACACTTTTGTTGTTAGTTTATAATTTTCAATAAAAACTTACAAAACAGTAAAATTCATTTAAAGAGTTTGTAGAAATACTAAGTTGAGTTTACTGCTATGTTAAATGTTAAGTTTTATTCCTTTAGTATAATTGGAAATTTACACTGAGAAAATTTTTTGTGAAAAATTAACTACAATGTGTACGCAAGCAGTTTGGTAATGATACTTCACTGTCAGTTTTTGAGTAAATTTTATCAAGCGATTCATAGTAAATTTCACTTCAACATTTGTGTTTAAAATTTAACGGATATCAGAAGTATTTTTTGCCGTCATCTTCGGTAAAATTTTCTTCTTTGAAGATTTTTTTTTTTTATACATCTTGTGTATGTTACAAAATTATTTGAAGCTTACAAGTATTTAATAAAAAAAGTGGATGCTATTTTGACAAGATAAACATTTAAGTACATTATAATTACTTTATTACTTATTTTTAGAGATTTTCATAAAATATAATAATCTGTTTAATATAATACATAATGTTATCTATTTACAATGTATTTACAACTATTTTATGCGCATACAATGTAGCTTATAATACAACCATACAAATCTTTGCTATTTTTACAAACTTACGAAAATAATGGCGATAAAATTTCATATGATTGTAAATGTAAATCAAAACCTCCGTTATTGAACATCTTTCGTACAATGAAAAAATCGTGTTCGTCAATTATTATTGAGTAAACAATGTAAAATTCAGACCCATTTTCTAGATGTAATATAATAATGCCACCTACTTTGATATCATTACTTTCAAAATGTGCTGTTTTTAGTTAATAATCAATAATTGTCGCATTGTAATTTAATTTCTAGGTAGTAAATCTTCAAAGAAAATACTATTTGGAACATTAATCATTGTAAATAATAATAACCGACATCGTGGCCTAAGTGGTAACGTGTCAGCCTGGTGCACTATGGGTAACGGGTTTAATTCCCGGCCAAGACAAGACCCATTTATAAGATATAGTCTTTTCTATGACTACGATGAGCGGGGGAGGCCTCTCAGAGGGCAGTCAAAGGTGTGTAAGCTATCGTGCTAATGACTGAATAGTACGAAAAGTACTATTGCTGATACGATGCCCTTGGGGAACCAGGTGACACCGCATTGTATACAGCCTTACCTGAGCAAAAGGCTCTGCACAGATGGACCCCAAAATTCCTCGCACTCTCTCTCGTTATCTTAAGCTGATGCTGAGGAAACAAGGACCCTTGAGGTAACCGGCGAAATCTCTTCTTGTGGCACTGGGGCACGACCTTTAAGGTTGACACCAGACCTATAGATCTTGCCTACCTGATGCTGAGGAAACCGGGGGACATGGGGCTGGAGGATTCTTCGAAGGCAAAAAAATAACGTTCATTCGCACCACCATGGAAATCGATAGGGACTGTTCCAAGGCTCAAAAGGAAAGTAAGGCAACTTGGAAACCTGCAGGCCTAAGACATAAGACGACCGCCTTTACTGTGCAAACGGACCCAGCACGATGGCCCCGGGGCTCAGTGCAGGGGAAGGCGGGACATTTTAGGCCCCTTCTTCCATTAAAAAAAAAATTATTAAGTGAGACAACATCTTTTTCATTTATCCGTAAGGCTGAAGATTTTTTTTTTGGGAAATTTTACTAAACCCGCTTGGTAATATTTATCCAGATAGTTTTGTTATAATGCATACGTGTAGCTTATGAAGTGTCCCAGATTTTGAAGATATCACGCAGTTAACCCAAAGTTAAGGGTAATTTTTCACTAAAAATTTCTGTGTAGAGATTAATATACTTATTAAGAATCCATACAAATACAGAGATAAAAAAATTAAAGGAATATCAGTACTCTAGAGTGGTCTGGGTGCAACCCAAAAAGTCCACACTACTAACTCTAGAGAAAAGAATGATAAAATTTAGCTAGTTGGCCATTTCTTTCAGTTTTTTGATTCTTTATAGAAAATAGCAGGACTGATTTTGCTGAAAAGTTATTTAGATCTAAGTCGCGGAATTATCCCTTGTAGCCATTCGGAAACAGACTGTCGTCAGACTTACGGATGTTGCTGTCCTTTGGTTCCCTAACGTAAAATCATCGTCAGATATTGCCGCACAAAGGAAACAGACGTACGTAAGTGTGTCGACAATTCTGACGTCAGATCTTGGCTACTAGGGATGTGTCGAATACAATTAGTTCCACACCGATATCATTGTTCTCAAGGTAATCGAGGTGAAAAATAATTCCGAACGCACATCGAACATACGTACACACACACACACAGACGTCTATATACTCACTTAATTCTCTTTAATAGCTACCTTTATGATGCGTACAGATTCCATGTTGTGGTAAAATTTCTGAATATGACTTAAAAAGTATAACTTCAAAAATATGAATGACTACAAAAAATTTCAATGTAAAATTACTGCACAATGTCAAATCGACTCAAGATATTGTTATTTTTTGTGTAGTGAAAATTTGTTGATATTTTTAAAACAAATACACAAGAAAAATTCAATATTCATACGTGCGATGAACCTCATATTATATATCATCCATCTTTAATTTTTTTTCTCTATCATTCAAAACTTACTCTGAAAAGTTGACTTATAAAAAGCTTGTGAATAATTATAAAATAATGATAGTACTTAGCAACTAATCATTGAACAGAACAAAGAATATTAAATGAACTTAACTACATTACAATTTATCATATTCATAATTGTAATTTACTATTAATATCACTTCATTTAATCCTCATTGCTCTATTTCACTGATTTATCACTTGCTCCTTGCACTCATTATTCATATCATAAACATTGTTTCTTCTACTGATTTCTGATTCTAAAATTTTTTCTTATTTTTTTTATAAAGTTACTTGAAGCTAAATCCTTACTTTTACGGGTTGAAGAAATGATGCAAAGGTAGAGATAAACGAAAAGGATCTTCTTTTGACCAAAAATTTAAAAGATAGATGTAAATAGCGTATATTGATAGTGAAAAAAATAGAAGAGCATGTAAGTTAACAAACATTCAATGTCGTTATAACTGATTTCAACAGCAGTTGGTTTATTCGATTATTAGTTTTCTATTCTTGATCAGTCGTGAATGTATACATAACTGTTATAAATCTTTCACCTAATACATTTATAAACTTATTCATTTCATCTGCAAGTTTTTTCTGCAGACACTACAAAAATTATGACGGCTACTACATAGCACCGACCTTCGATTTTCTGCAGAAACAGAATATTTTTTCTGTGTATATGTATTCTGAGTATATTTCTATACTTTACTTCAGTTCCACCCTCTGATTTCGTGCATCAGGTACTTCCCAGCCGGTGGTACGGACCTCTTCCGGAAAGAACTATCAAACTCGTTAAAACTTGTGTTGCGTTACTGCCGTTTCAAATTAACAATGATGAGTTTGGAAAATTACTAGTCTTTTTTCCGTCATACTCACACTATAACGAAATGAACAAAAAATATTTCTGTATAAAACAATTATTTGTTTTCTCGTTATGTGCTATTTTAATATTAATTTAAATGGAATTTTATTTACATCATGTACATTGAATATTTCAATTTTGTTTCAGAACCTGAAAAATCAAATTATGACGACCAACCTCTGGGTAGAACAGGTGAGCAAAAATACTCTAGTTAATACTTGAATAGTCATTCACTGAAATAATTGAACGAAAAATGTGAAATCAACTGTCCAAGTAGAAAATGGCAAAAAAACTAGTCCGGAAAACGTGTTCAACGTGGATGAAAAGTCAAATCATTGGTTTAGAATAGAGTATTTGTTAGCTTGTACATTCAAATGGAGAATGTGGAGTAGAAGAAAGAATAGAAAAGACAATAGACATTGTATCGCACCATTAAATCAGGCCTTATTTGTTGAGTGCAACGGCAGATTACATTGCAAAGTAAATGTATTCGCGTACAAAGAAACCAGGTTGCTGAAGGCTATCCCTTCAACTTGATAAATGCTTTGGTAAAGAGAAATTGAAGGAAAGACACGAGCATTGAACCAACACAGCCACAGTTCTAAAATAATTAAAGAATAACAGCCCGAGTTCAATTAACAAACTGATTTGCATTTGAAGATACTTTCAAAACTTTCCGTTGAAACATTTCAAATGATGAACATTGAATTTTTAACATTTCCGTATTGTTATTTTATAGCAACAATATTCTTCAATTGCTTGTGTAATTAAATCAATCGTGATTCTATAAGTAATATCATGATTGAAATTATTATAACAATAATGTTTCAATAACCGAAACATTTTTTTAGAACTATAAAAATAAATTCCATCATTTATCATTCATAACGTCAATATGAAAAATGATTCACTGTGATTAAATTTATTTTTCTTTTATATTGTTTTTAACTGCAAAAAAAAACATCTCATACGTCAACTTTATTACTTATGATGTTACATTGATTAAAATGTCAACTATCAGTTCGATGCATTTCTTTATTAATATTATAATAATATAATTAATATGATAATAAATCAATCGTTGAATTAATTTAATTCAGAAAAGTTTTGTTGATTTCTATTTTGAGTATTCAGAATAAATTTACAGCTATCAACATTTAAAAAATGTTTGGTATATCGATCTATTAGAAAGTTCTTTATCCTAAATTAATTTTAAACTTTAAAAAGTTTAAAACAGCTACGAAAATCCCAAATCTACGAATACTGTAAGAAATAATTAGATTAAAAGACATATATGTAATTTTATGTTTTTATTATAGTACCAAATTGAATATATCCGGGTAGCAAAAATATATTCATTCAATTAAATATAAGACTCCATATAGAATTTAAATATTCAGCTGCAGTGACTGCAAAATATTTCAGTGATGTATTTTACAACAAAGCATCGTATCCCGAGGTCGTACTATTTTACTCCGATCTACACATTCTTCTATACTTCTATTGCTGCCATGTCACCCATGTCCCCTTTGCTATTGCACTATCTCGATTCCAATTCCGTCTAGACGTATATAACGTGACCGTATACCCCAAGTTGCCTTCAGCAAGCTCTTCAGGTATATATACGTGTGATTTGAGAATAATGATGAACCGATGTGTTGTTACTTGTGTAAACATTGCTCACATATTTCCGTCTGCCATTGATGCAAGTTATAGCAGAAGGTCTAGTAATAAGATTTGTGCCAAGTTCAGCTTTGACTATGATGTAAATTAAAGTAATTTTGTCATTATAAAATGTAGGGGAACTCGACAAAGACGAATTCATGAGGTAAAACAGCTTGGCAGGGTCTGTTTTGCCTCACTCAATTACCAAACTTAAAAAAATTCGTCTCGTTTCATGAACCTGTTTTGTCCCGAATTCCCCTAGGTTTCCAAACATTTAGTTATTATAAAAATCTACAAAACACTCTATATATATGCATATTTTTTAATTGTGCGTCATTATCGATACTTATATCCCTCATAAAAAGCTTATCTTACATAACATTCGATTACTTATTTTGTTATTGTGGTATAATAAGATTCTTGAATATAACAGTTTCTGAGTGGTCGTCTGTGTACGCATGTGCATTTGGAATTCTTTTTCGTCTCAATTATTTCGAGAATAACAAATCTGATCAGTTCCGGATCCTAAATGTAACGCCTCAAATAGTCCCGTTCACATGAGGCTACCTTTCATGGACCTGATTAAGGCATCCTGGCCAAGCCCTTATTATAATTATTCTTTTAATTAAAAATAAAAAATGCTTGAATAATTTGTAACGATAGACGGAGAGTGGTTCTCAATCTGCGTCGACTGTTGTGCCTCGACACTGTCTATCGTTAATGAAAAATTAATATTCAATTACATTGCTATATTTTATGTAACGGCAACAAAACCGAATTAATGTTGAGAAAATTCATAATACATCCGGGCGCTAGGTAGGAGGACAATCAGGTTCTACCTACCAAAAAAATAAAGTTATAATTAAAATAAATAACCTTGAACAATTTATTAAATACTGAACTGGCTAGCTTTTATAATCAAATAAAAGATAAAGCGTGAGACTTCGTGGGGTGTGTCACCACTGGTGATCACTCGAACTCTGCTCAAATAATCAGTTTCATACATTCAGCATATTCAATTTACTTAAATCGTAATTTACTGTCAACGCAACGCGCCCAAAGACTTGAAAGAAGTCCAAGTCACTCATACAACACTCTGGAACGCCGTCCGCTGGCTAACTACTCCCTCAATCTTGAGATATGTCGGGATTCAAAAATTATTAATTACTTTGCAACGTTACGGCTCCAATGGGTCACCGTATTTATCATGATAATTATCAATAAATTGAATTCGCGTCAGCCGCTAAATAACAGAATGTCTAAACACGATTGAATCGCCAACGATTTCTTGCCTGCACATGGAGATTAGAACCAACGACCACTACTTTACAAAATCTAAATCGCTGTCTTTACTCGTTCAGCTATCGTCTTATTAAATAAGATATGGCAATTTCATATATTTCGATAGATATATATACATAATATTTTTTTCATAAGAAAATTAAACCCTTTGATTTCCATTTGCCTATCTTTATTTTGGTTTTTCAGATCCTACTAACATCGATTTAGCAAAAGAAGTTTTATCTTCTATAACATTTAAATTCTAAAATTTCACGAACGTCATAGTCTGTTAAGTTCAGCCAGTCATCTTTTTGATTAAATTTCAGCTAATACCATGTCGTTTTATAGAAGTAGCTAAATGCCGTGTACTATATTCTGTAAGTATAGTAATATCAACTCCACTGATCTCCAGCATTTCTTATATTCATCGACTCATTGTTTGTGTTAGGACTTTCATCCACTCTTCGGGGACCTGACGTCTTAATTTTCGATGAAATTTTTATCCCTATGTGGTCTTTTCGTTTTAGAGTGTCTAAAATTTAAATTAGCACGAACGTTTGCAATCTATGTGCTGTTGTTGAGGCCAATAAAACAGCTAATTTTAGCGACAATTGTTTTAGAGTTAAATCTTTGTTTTCTGGCCATCTATTCAAGATATTTAGAACTGTTTTTGGGTCCCAAGTATCAGTATATCTTGGTTTCGGTAGGCGACGACTAGTCACCTCTTTGCGAAATCGTTTTATCAACGAGTTTTCTTCTACTTATAAACTTAAAAAAGTAATAACGCTATTCTATAACTGTTTACTGATCTGTATCCGATGCCGTTATTGAACTGCTTTGCTAAAAACTTTAAGATATTTATGAAGTTGCAGTCATAAATCTGAAGATTATTATCTTTCTAAAACTCCCACTGTTTTTTAGAGGTACTCCATATTGTCCTTCATAGTGTATGAGGATCTCCGTCAACAAAATGAATTAAGTTAATGTCTGGTTGAAAAACGATCGGCTTCAATTCTAAAATTTTCATAAAGTTAGAATACCAAGCCTAGAATCTTCAATTAGGAACCACGATTATGCCTTTAGCATTTTCAAATTTTATTTTTAACTTCCCAGTGGGAAGTTATAGTAATGGGTCCGATTTTGCGAATCGCTAATTTTGACATATCTCCACGTTTTAAGGTCCCCAGAGTCGAAAACGATCGTTTTCCAGTGGACGTCTGTGTGTGTGCGTATGTGCGTGTGTGCGTATGTGCGTGTGTGCGTATGTGCGTGTGTGCGTATGTGCGTGTGTGCGTTCGGAATTATTTTTCGCCTCGATTATCTCGAGAACAAAAAATGTTATCGACGTGGAACCAACTGCATTCGACGCGTAATTATGTAACTTAGAATTGATAAGATTTTCAGCAAAATCGGTCCAGCCATTTTTTTTGCAGAACCAAAAAACTAGCAAAAATGTAAAATGACCTGAATTTCTCAATTTATAAATTATACCATTTTTTAGACAAAATTTCAAAATCTTTAAAAAAATATAAATACTAAATGATTAAAATACTTGCATGAAAATATGGTGACAATATTTCATCGGAAAAAAAAATTTTAAAAAACAAAATCAGCAATGAAAGAATTTTAAACTCGTGTCAGGATTGAGAAAACAGCATTAAAGACGCTATAACAGTCAATACTAATTGTCAATAATATAGAATTGTGTTCATACCAATTGAATATTGTTACTAACAAGTGATTATTGATCATAGTGATATTTAAATAATAAGTTTTAAATTGTTATAAACAATAAAAATAGGGACCCTTTCTATATATATGAGTACTTTTAACGCATAATTTTTTCTTTTACTAAAAAAATGTTACCAACCGTATGACATAGATGAAAACATACATTGTTCGTGTATAACAACGAAATTTGTTGTAAATAATGAAAAAAAGGATCTATGAGGTATATTCGAATTCTTCTAACGCACAATTTTTCCTTTTACTGAAATGAAGTAACTAACCATATCAAATGAATAAAAACACACTGATTTTGTTTATAACAATTCCATTTGTTATAAAGACTGGAAACGGGTTCTATTCGAATTGTTTTTTCATTTTTTCCACTGGGAAGTTGGTCGTGTGGACCTTTCGGGTTGCACCCAGACCACTGCAGAGCACTGATATTTTAAAATTGGAGTTAAAGTAAAACGTGTTATTGCAGCTCCTCGGGAGGCATCGCTGCAACGAATATAACTATA